TGAAAATGAACCTGAAAATGTCCACCAAAGTTCACTGAACATTTCATTTGAATCAGTAAGCTTTCCAAGAAAATGATAAAGTCATTTTCAGTTGTAAGTATAAAATTTAATTTAACAAAGTTAAGTCTTCAAATTGCTTGGTAAATTTGGAGAGATATAAAGAATAAGCATATATTGTTCAGGAACACAAAACACCCATTGATAAATCAATAGGTAAATTTATGAAAAAGAAGTATAATTATTTATAAGTAATGAGGGTCAGAGTAGCAATAAATATAGGTATTAGTAACCATTGGTCATATATGTCAGATGTTGTGCTAAACTGTATTAAAATTGAGTTTCAGAGTTACTAGTTTGTAGAACACTAAGCCTCAGGAAATGTTGGGACTCTTTTAAATTATAAATTGGGTCTCTTCATATAGTTGTTCTGCTTTCACACTACACAACGGTTCTAGTCACGCCAGAGATATATGCTGATTTATTCCACAGCTCAAGGGAAGGACAGAAGATTTTTGGTTTCTAGGCTAAACACTCAATCAGCCAGAAAGAAATATTTCCTTAAAAGGTTGTGTAACTTGCATGTCTGTACACACTTAGGAAAAATCTCTCAACGCATACACATATGCACTCATTGTACATATACCTTGCTAACATTTGGTTCAAACTCAGTCATACTATTATGGTATATAGTTATTATTTTTAGCAAATACATTTCCTATCCGATTACGGAAATACTGCATATTTAAAAAGGATTTCATATAAATAATTTAAAATACAAAAGAAATAGTAACACATACCCATTATTCATAATCATGTTCCCTTTTTCCCTCTCTCTTTCCTTTTCATCATCTAATAAGAACTCAAAATCAAAACAAAATAAACAAAAACACAAACTCTGTGCACAACCTAGTTAATTTACCTCATTGTGAGTCATAGTATTTGTAAGGACAAATAATATTATATATAATAAAATCCTAATATGCAAATCAACCAAATGGTAGAACAACCAGGTGCTATGGCATGCACTGACCACCAGGAGGCAGATGCTCAAATCAGGAGCCGTCCCCTAGCGGTCAGTGCACTCCCATAGGAAGAGTGCTGCTCAACCAGAAGCTGGGCTCACGGCTGGCAAGCGCAGTGGTGGTGCAGGAGCCTCTCCTGCCTCCCCTGCAGTCCAGTGGTAAGGAGCAAGGGGTACCAGACTATGAGAGTCCCAGACTGTAAGAGGCATGTCTGGCTTGCAGCTGAGGCCCAATCCCCAGGAGGATCGTGTCTAAGCCAGCAGGTAGACATCTCCTGAGGCCTCAGGCCAGGCTAAGGGACCCCCACTCCCAGTACATGAATGTCGTACACTGGGCCTCTAGATGTTTTATAGATGTTTTTCAAACACAACACAAAATCCAATAAATGGCCCTACTTCCTCTGTTTCCCATGAGACCTCCTTCTAAGGCTCCCCTTACTCAATTTGAGATCAAGAAACATATTTCCATTCAAACAAAATGGCCATTATTGGTAATGCATCAGAGTTTAGCTAAAATATCAATCCTAATGATTTGTAAAGGGGAGGGAGATCATAAACTATAAGTCTATTAGGTTCTCTAAGTTTCTGTCAGTTAGCTAAATTATGACTTTTAAATTTAATATAATGCTATCAATATCCCTTATTAATGCTTGCTTAGATATGTCATCATCAAACAAATGAATGTCCATTATAGAATAGGCAACGGAAAAATTTTATTACCCAATCTAAAAGCTTATCCCAGCAATTCAAAAATGAATCAGTTTAAAGTGATTTAAAACCTAAGCAAAGTTTTTGTGTAAAATTTTTGTTATAAAACATTAAAAGTAATTATATAACTATAAAATGTTTTTCTTTGTAACAGTTTCACATATTTGTCTAAAACTAGAATACTCCATTTCAAGAAAAATATTTATAAAATAAAAACTTTACATTTGTTTGTCCTGCCAACTCTTCTATACCTGAGAAAATAAGTAGGAAAGCATAAGGATGCTGTTCTTAACTAAAAATCCAGAAGAATCCCATTATTTAACAAAACCCAAGACTGTTATACCAATAGCCTTAGTGTATTTTGACATTTTCTCTTTCATGTTTTTCTATGTAAAGCACTTAACTCAATATAAATCAGTTGCCAATTATCAAAATGGGTTAATCCAACCAGTGGATTATCTATGGAAAGGTATTTTCATTTTTACTTTTCATTGTATCTATCATGATTTTGAATATTACCATTATCTTCCTTCAATCTATCCATGTATTTGCATTCCCAAGCACTTGGACAAAACAACAACAACAACAACAACAAACAAAAAACTATTAAGAAATCCATATCACGTATTCCAGCCAAGTGTTATTATTTCCTGTGTTAGCCATGCTTTGTCCAGTATTGATTTCATTCCTACACAGTGTGGACTCACAATTTTATATGATTTGTTTTTTTTTTTTAAATGGTAACTATGAAAACCATTTTCATGAACAATAAAACAAAAGTGTTGTCCCAGTCCCAACTTAAGGGAGACCAGAGAGAGGTAAAGGCCTGGGGCGAACTAAAGGGATAGAACCATTACTAGCTTTGGGGGCACCCTGGAAGGTGCTGGTATGGAACACTAAAAGGCATATAAAGTTAACACGTCTCTGAAAGCACCATACAACATTTATGTTGCCTGCCATAGCTCCTTTCCCTTCAGTCTTTCTAAGTACTGAGTTATTTGACTCCAGGAGAGACCTGGGAAGGCTTTTGAGCCATGGTTATAGAGTAAGTCATCCATGAAGGCAGTGCTTTATGGGGCAGCTTCCTACAAACCACCAATGAGCAGGTGTGAAGTTCCACTCTGCTCAGAGAGCACATTATGTGATGGCCAACAGTGCCCTGAGAATCTTGTTTGGGAGGCTAAACAAGCACATTTAGAAAGACCAAGGGCTTTGATGGGATTATTGAAAAACCCAATCTAATAGCATTACAAACTCAACTGGTAGTGATTTCCTCTGATAACTTAAACTACATTTCTAAGAAGTACAGGGTTTGTAAGGTTTAATGTTAGCAACAGCACTGAATTCTGCCCTGCTTGTTCCATGTGAACATGACATATCAACAGAAAATAAAATGTCGGATAAGATAAAGGAATATCAACACACTGATTTGTCATATATTCCTGGGCAAAATTTTAAGTGCATTATTTGAATATAAAGTCGCACTAATTTTTGTTTGTTTGTTTGTTTAAAAGTAATAGTTACATTATTTACTTTATTGGTACATTTTTTTAGACTGGAGATTCACAATCTCCATAAATAGCGTTGGCATGAATTTTAAATTCAGATGCACTTGAAGTCAACACTGTCCTAATTAGTGAACTTTTCAGGGAATCAGGCTGTTGACTTTATGAAAATAGTTGCTATTATGAACTTTTCTGCGAATCCCTAAAGAGGCATATTTTTTTTCTAACTAGGGAGGCCTGAGGATATCTGAATATGTGCACATTTGAACACTGTTTGGGATAAAGCAAAATTAATTAATTTAATCAAGCAAAGCATAAACACAATTCACAATCTCGGATGCCACTAAGAGCAATTAGTTAATAGGGTGATAAAGACGAGGGGGTAGTTATGTGAGACATGAGCAGAGCAAGTACCATGGGCCACGTACAGAAAGTCCCCAGGTCAGGAAGCCTAGCAAGGGGCAAAACTGGGAAAACAAGAACCTGGCCCCAGGGTAACCTTTCCTCCCCTAGCACATCCCTGGTCAGATGGTTTAGACACCCCCTCCCCTGACCTTTTTCTCCCTAGGCCTCAGTTATATTTCATTTTCTTAGACCTTAAAATCTTTTCTGCGTTGATAAGAAGAATCAAGACCCCAATCACCAAGATCCCAGTCAGTAACCCCAATCGGTAACAGTTATTTGTCTGTGTACTCTGAACCCTGAACAAATGTCAGGTAAGAACAATAAACATTAAAAATAAAAAGATAAAACTCTCTCTTTTTTTTTCTTAAATAGCAACTTCTAGGGTAAGGAGCTCCCCATTGTTTTTTATTAAACTTAACATTATATATATCCTAACTCTCATTATATAGTATTTTAAGACAGATTCCTCAATATTGAAATATCTAAGACAGGCATATTTGGGCCACTGTAGACATAATATTTTAAATAGTTTCTAAGGAGTCTGATGATGAAGATACTTTTCTAAAGTGACTTACTATTGAGTTACAAAGTCTAATGTGAAGTCTTTTCTATTTTTACTCTTTCCAAATAAAAGAGTGGGGAATGAACTAATACAAAACAGTTAAAGTGCTAACACTAAAATCACTGACATCTACTTTTGACTTTATTGAGGATCTTTTCTTATAGGAAAAGATGTTTCTATCTCTCCCTCTCCCTTCCCTTTTGAAAGTTTCAAAAGGGAAGGAAGAGGGAGAGAGAGATAGAAACATCAATGATAAGAGAAAAATCACTAATTGGCTGTCTCTTACATGCCCCCTGCTGGGGATCAAGCCTGAAACTTGAGCACCAGCCCTTGATTAAAATCAAACCTGGGACACTTCAGTCTGCAGGCTGATGCTCTATCCACTGAGCAAAAGCAGCTAGGGCTAATTTCTGTTGTTAAGTTTTCTCTAAGGCCACTATACTTGTGTTAGTTCAAGGGTTGTTAAGTAGGATTTATTTATTTATGTATGTATTTATTTAAATATTTATTCATCTTTGCTAGTCATTAAGAATTTGCTCAGTGAGAATTAATAACTGTTCAGCTAGAGGTCTTGCATTGGATTTTGTATCATACTGCAATCCTTATTAAGAAGAAAGTGCACTGGAAGCCACTTATGTAGGATTATTTTTAATTAAGGCAAATTATGACACAGAGCTACTAACCTTTATAAATGAACTACACATTAGCATTCTCCATTTCGGGGGGCTGTTTCATTTACTATTTAACCACAGAAACCCTCACTAGCTATAAAGGTCAAACAGAAAGCAGCCTTACTTACCATCATCATACTGGCCAAAGCAGACTCCGAAGAAAGAACCAAGGAAGATCCCTGAAGCTAACCATTTCCAGAGATAAAACTGTTGTAACATCTTCTGTCAAGTTCCACTCAAGGCTGATCTGAGATAACAAAAGGGAAGAAGAAACATTTGACAAGTTCATTAATCTGCTATAGGTAAACACCACTGTCACAGCACAGAAGAGCCTTAATGACTTCATAGTTAATTACCTGTGCCAAACTATCCATTAACAAAGTAACACACTTGTTTAATGCACTGGAACTCCTTACCACGTGAATTTGCAGACAAGTAATCTCTAAGGAAAGCCAACTCCTCTGTTTCTTACTTTGTAAGCAAGTCAGTTGAGAATTTAACACCTTGGTAATATCAGAACCACACTTTCTTTTAAATTGAATCAAATGGTTAATCAGTTTATTAAACTTCTCTATAGCATAATTCAATGGTACAGTTTAAGTTGTTCTACAACAATTTAAGATGATAAAGCAGATATTAGTATCATATATGAACATTTTATTTGGCATATGTGTTACACAATTAGCACTATTAAAATGCTAATTCCTTTTAGTATCATTAACATGCTAAGAGATTGACTTAACTATGCCAAGTAAGACTAAGCAGAAACCATCAATTTTTACCACATCTGTCTTTTGAAACACTTGGGTGAATTTCATTTTAATTCCTTTGTTTTCCTTTGCAACCTCTCAATAAATAAAAAGCTGATTTACTAGTCTGCTCAGTGGCCAGTGAGCAGACTAGTAAGTCTGATTGAGAGAGTGATGTGCTTAGCTTTTTGGTAAATCGAAGAAATTGTTCACACGAAATTGCTCAAAATGGCCCAGTTAATAAGGAGATAGAAGAGGGTGGGAACTCTATTCCTCTAACTCAGCGGTTCCAAACCCAAAATTCTACAGGGAACAGGAAGACAAAAGAGAAGAGGGAATGAGCCTAAGGGAACAACAGGATGTGAAGGCTGTGATACATTGTGGAGTGCAGGGTTTGCATGAATGGCCAAGCTGGTGCTCAGCCTCTGTCAGAGCTTTTCATGTGGGAATGAACACCAGTGTTGCCATTTCTACCATCTTCTGATTTTCCAGAAGATGGTAGAAGTCCAAAGTTAACTGTGAGATCGCTCAGTGTTTAGATGATTGTCCAATCCTCTTTATAAGTTAGATGTTTCTGGCAGGCCATATTGTTCTCTGAGTCCCTTCAGTTTAACACTGCTGCCTAGGATTCGCCCGCTGAGACTAGTTGTGGATAATGTGCATTAGAATGCATAGAGAAAACATTTTCATTCTGCTTTTACATGTATTTTATTTCATTCATCATAGGGGTTTTTCTGTGTGCTCCATAAAATTTATTTGCACAGTAGCATATATAAATATAAACAATTAAAATTATTGTAAATGTGCAGGCTCAAATTTTTCCTACTCACGGGACATACAGTCCTTAAATTCAAAAGGTCACTGTACTAGACCACACACATTTTACAATGAAATCCATTCTTCTTGTGTCTTAAAAAAAATAAAAACCCAAGCTGGTTTGGCTCAGTGGATAGAGCATTGGCCCACAGACTGAAGGGTCTCAGGTTCAATTCTGATCAAAGATTCTCTCTCTCTCTCTTTCTCTTCTCTCTCTCTCTCTCTCTCTCTCTCTCTCTCTCTCTCTCTCTCTCTCTCTCACACACACACACACACACACACACACACACGCACACTTTCTCTCTCTCTTTCCTCAAAATTAAAAAAAATAAAATAAAATAACACCTTCGTTTTACCTGATCCTCATACTGTTTTTCACTCTAAGTGGTAAAGGACCGAGCCTCTGCTTTTATAACTTCTAGGCACAGTTATCACAAAGAAGAGTCCACCTTTAGATATTAAAAGACTATAACAATCCAAGCTTAATTGAAAGTAAAATAAAAATAAAGTAGATAAATGCTGCTGGTTGGTGGAGTCAGTGAGTTAGAATAAAGCTTCTTTTTAAATTCAAGTTCTTCAGCTTAACTATTATGTGACTTTGAGCAAATTAAATAGCATTTATGTCTCATTTTCCTCATTATTACTGCAGAGATAAAAAAGTACCTACCTCATAAGTTTGTTTCAAGGATTAAATAAGTAAATGGCTATAACTACATGCTCAAAAGAGTGACTCAAACAGTGAGCACTCCATAAACTTACTATGAGGGTTTTTGACTCAGCATCTATGGACTCTTGAAAGTGCTTTAACATATATTTTCCAATTTGTCGGTAGCATAGCTTCTAAAGTTGTATCATAACTCCATTCTGTGGTGGAAACATCATACTCCCTGACTCAAGATTACAAATCGGTGTGTTCCCAAAGAAGGGGTGCAGTTTACAAGCTGATACCTCTGCTCATTACAGAAAAGAATGGAAAACTTCTAAGAGAATATGTGACTCAGAGGCTTTAAAGGTTAAGGAAGTCTTATAAAGTCTGCTGTATTGCTTCCTGGTACCTTAAAGGAGGGATATTGCATTCCTCTTTCCAACCAAGAGTATACTCTGCTACGTTTATGCAAATAATGACTTCAACTCCTTATTTTAAAAAAATGAGAATATTAATAAGCAAACTATAGTATTTAAAATAGAAAACAAAAACAAAGAGAAAACACTTAAAGAACAATTATTCTTAAAAATTTAAGGAAAAGACAAGAGAACAAAGAGTTTTACTTTGTGGATCCTTTGTCTATCAACTTGATTTCCTAACGTATCAGTTTTGAAGTTCACACCGTATATGTTCCCTACTAGATAAAACTGACATTCATTTCTCTGACATTCAGAGTTCTCAGAAATTCATTTATTCAACAAGCATTTATGGAGAGTCTCTGGGGTACCACTCACTCTTCTAGGTCAGTGAAAAATGTCAATAAAATAAGCCCACTCATATATATTTTTTCATGAATCTAACATACTAGCAAAAGAAAGGAAGATAAACATAAACAAACAAGTTACATAACAAGTTAAAAGGTAATCATTACCATAAAAATAGCTGCTTGCATTTTTAACTTTATACTACCACTTCACAATTAATTATCATTCAGAAATTAAGATTATAACCAAATCAAAATGCTTTCTCATACTAACCTAACTAAAATTTTTCACAAGAAAAACATATCTATTCCCACAACTCTAGCTGAAAGCACCTTCAAAGACATCTACTGCCCAGAATACAAATTGCTGCCCACCCCTTGGAAGGAGACTAGGAACATAACATGTTCTGCCCTTGACGTGGTTATCCATGCTCCCTGCTGGATTGGTTGCAGTGACACATGGCAAAAGCAGCCAAGGTTGACATCATGGCAGTTTTCCCTTTGGCACATTTTTTACAATGTCAGCATTTTTTCCCAAAGAATGTCTCTGACTGCTATGTGAATAACCACTAACTTCTTTGATATTTCAAAATTTGGAGCCCACTGCCAATACTGTGAAGAGAAATCCCAAATCAATACCATGTCAGGGAGCAAGCTGGAATCTCTCAGGGAAGTGAGAGCTACACATATGCATCTGCCCTTCAACAATCTGTTCAGTCATACTCTGGTACTTCCAATTTCTACCATCTAGACAAAGCTATTAAAAAAAGATTATGCCTGGGCACTGTGGCTCAGTGGTTGAACCAGGAGGTCATGGTTCAACCCCTGGTCACAGCACATGCCTGTGTTCAGGGTTCCATCCCCAGTGTGAGGCGTGCAGGAGGCAGCAGATCAGTGATTCTCTCATCATTGATGTTTCTATCTCTCTCTCCTCCTTTCTCTCTGAAATCAATAAGAACATATTTTTAAAAATGTAATTTGTAACTGCTCTGAATTTCTTGGTAGAAATGTATACTAACCACCAGAAGAAAGCAAACTTCCTTTCAAAGCAGCCTCCATTGTCAAAGAGAAGGCACAAGGCTTCCCAAAGTCTTCACTTCTCACCACACCAAATATGAACGTTCATAACTGAAAGGTAGGAAACCTTTCTTTTACCTGACCACAGTGGGAAACTTCAACAATGTTTCATGGCTACAGAGAATAGGTATCACTCATAAGAATCACCTGACAAATCATCTTCTGTTTCTTTTTTACCTTTGCAATATAAACTTCAAGAAAACAAAATGTCAAAGATTCTTTCAGATATATTCTGTCTTTCTAGATCACTTTATATTTTCTTATAAAAGTTTATATATAGATTTATATTAAATATCTCTATTAAAATGTTTATTTATAGATAATTATATATCTAGTACATATCTGGGCCTTCTCACCCAGTGTTGCCTCACTGGCCACCCTCCAATTAATTGCCATTCAATGTGCATGAATCCATGCACCAGGGCACTAGTTTAATATAATATGAAATATATTGTATTTATAAAATACATTGTATTAATATAATATAGAATGTATAATGAATATACTTGCAAATAAAATAAAATGCAATCAAATGTGTTTTATGTAACTTTATATTACACATTTACACATACACTCTACATGTAAAGAGATATATTTAGATTTTATCTATAGTACACATATAAATATTCATGTTATTCCCTAGTCATATATTTATTTTAATCATGAGCTGAATTATACTGTAAAGACAGAAATGGCTAGATTGTAGATAATTCTAGGTAAAGACAGAAAAATAACAAAGTTTTTCATTTGGCACTGTGAAATCTAAGTACCTCTCCAGTCTGTCCCAGACTGTCCAGGCTAGGGTTATCTCAAATGCCATGATGTTTGAGTGAGCCTTTATTGGTGTCCACTTTCAAATGTATACTTATTTGTAGTTTCTCTCTCTCTCTCTCTCTCTCTCTCTCTCTCTCTCTCTCTATATATATATATATATATATATATATATATATATACTGTATATAGACAATGTGTTGGATTTCAGCTTTGTGCAGGCATTTTAAATGTATACTCAATAATTATAAACATTAAATGAGACTGATTTAGGTTAAAAGAAATTTTCTGAAACCACATGATACACATAGAGTACAAGTTCAGAAATTATTCTTCTACAAATTTTGGTGGACCTCCGGAAAATTCACCCAGTACCTCAACATGTCTGTGGTGAATC